GGGAGCTTCTATGATCAGGAGAGTTTAGAGGCAGCACAAAGCCCACATAAACTCATTAAAAGTCCCCATTGCCTCAGAAACTTTTAAAAATGAGAAGTTTGAGAAAGTACCTTATGGGGGAAGAAACCAACTTCGTTGGTGAACCAAAACGGAGGTAGAAAAGGCTAATAGCAAAACAGAAGGGGAAGAAGATCATATGCCACAAAACCCTCATCCTGGGAAGTACAAAATCTTGAGGAGAGCTTAAGAGGACATGGTGATGATGCCAACCCCAAGATGGAGCCCAGAACCAATATGCTTTGGAACTATCTCACCTGAGAGGGGGTTGCCCGCACCATTGTTGGTTGATACTCTTTATGAAGTTCTAGGACAAATGCCAAACTTTGGCATAACTCAAGAGGAAGTGTTACCCTAGCTGATGTTGCCAAAAGAGGTACATGCTTATTTAGATGAATTCATGGACCACATTGGGGGGCAAGAAGGATGACGTACCTAAACCTAGCAACTTTCACGTAAACATGACATATGTTTTATCTGCCATGTTTTACGATGAGCATGATCAACCTGCCATAATGGAGGGCTATTACTTGGCAACAGAACCTATGATGGCGTATGTTAGTGTTGAAGAAGCAGGAAATGAGGAGTCGGGCAGAACAGGTTTGTCTGAACTCACAAACAAAGAGCCCGAGAGGGTGTACATAGACAAAATGGTCTTTAGTCGCCCAAACTTGACCCTAGCTAACCATCTCAAGCCTATATATGTAACTGCTCATCTGGAGGGAGTACCCTTCAATAGGGTTTTGATTAATGGATGAGCTGCGGTCAATGTGTTACCATATAAGTAGATGAAAATGGTGTGTAGAAGTGAGGATGATCTCATCCCCACGGATTTAACAGTTTCCAGTTTCTCTGGAGCCATCACTAGAACTCATGAGATATTGCCTCTGAAGGTTGACTTGGGCTCCAAGTAAATCATGCTAGCCCTCTTTGTTATGGATAGTACTTCCACCTATGGAGCTTTTCTAGGCTCAGATTGGATTCACTAGAGTCTCTCTGTGCCTTCCACCCTGAAGCAAAAAGTAGCAGTCTACCATGAGGAAGGAGCTATGAAACCAGGATTTTGGGAGATGGTGGAGGCCAAGTCACGACCATTCCTCCCCACTGTCAATGTGGCAGAAGCCAGCTTTTATAATCCTATTATTGGGATTCTTTAGTGCTTAGGAGCTGAGAATGATCGCTCGACTAAGGTGACGGCCCAAAAGCTTTTGGAGCAAGGATTGTTCGTCACATGGGAAGAATGGGATAGACCCCATATTGTCCCAACTCCTTAACAGTAGTAATGTTAGAACAAAGAAGAAGACCAAGTAGCTACAGTCAGGTCCTTAATCAAAAGACTGTTGGTGTATAGAAGAGAAATAAAGCAAGAAAGGGAGAGCTTGGCTGAGAAACAAAAGGAAGAAACTTCAACCTTCGCCTACAAAAAGTGAAAGTCAATTGTTAAAACCTTAAAATTGGTGAAGATACAAGTTTAAAGAATGAAAAGAGATATACCTTCAAAGATTTAGCACGAGAATGAGAAGTTGGTATCATTTAGGCTGAAGGTAAAGAGGCCTCGGGCGGAGAGATCATTTCTTCCCTTATGGTTTGTTACAGAAATCAGGCAAAGAGTCAAGAAGAGAGTAGAAAAGATGAAGGGAAAACTCAAAAGAGTAAACTTGAGATGTAGGCCATAGCTCAAGAGCTTCAAGAGTGGAATCTTGCAGATCCTTGGCCTTTTGTTACATCTCGACCCCCAGATGACCATCCCTTGAGACGATAGTCAGCTTTTTGGTTGCTTGAGACCCTAGATTCGAAGAAAGTGGAGTTGTTAGCTCTTAAACACAAAATGCAAGTAAGAATGGAAGGTTGAAACAAAATTCACTTACTATAAGCCTTATGTTTCTTCCTACCCACGCTCGCCTCAGCTATAGAAGCGAAAGACTTGGAGGATTTTGAACCCTGTGCCCTTGTTCTCTTATTAGTGGAGGTTGCCCGCGGACCAGGGATGGAGAGTTGAGTTCGAGGTTGCTCTTTGGGCTCAGACACAAAAGTCTCTACTACTGTGGCTCGAGTCCGACGCGTTGCCTGAGGCTCCATTGTAGGCTTTGTCTTGCCATCCGAGTCCCCAAGCAGCTCAGAGACATCCCCACCTTTTCCAACACCTTGTCTCTTGGCTTCAGCAGCAACTTCTTAAAGCTTAAAGGCGTCCGTATCATCTTCATATTGCTCGACATCCAGCTTTATGGGATTGCCTTGGGCTGCAAGTGTAAAGAAACCAAGGAAAGGATTAAAGAGGGCAGATTCAAGAAAATTTCATAAATTACAAGTGGAAGAAGTAGGGGATACCTATTAGAAGTAGTTGGTTCTTCCGATGAATCATCTCTTTCCATCTTCAAGTTCTCTTAGCTTTTGATGGGATTTGATTGTCAATTGCTTGAAAACGCAATCATGAGCCTCACACAGGTCTCCTCCGTACTTCTTGCTCCATTTTGCTTCCCACCAGGAAGAGAAGGTCGAGCTGTATTCAAAATTAAGAGCCATAGGTTTGCTGGTAACTCTGCTCAGTACCTTGAGACTTCGACATGCAGCTCTGAATGTGACTCCTTGTGGAGAGTGAAGATGATATGAGGTACTGCAGTGAACGAAGTCAAAGAAAGGCACCGGGATAGCTTGTCTAAAACCCAATTGTCTAGCGGTCACTCCTTACTCCCCAAGCTAAGTCCCTTGATTGAATACAACTGATAAATCTCTCTCTGCATAAGGGATTAGCATCTTTTCCAGAGGCGTCTTGGATGGCTTGGTCAGAAAACCAAGGGTCTCCCTTAAGCACAAAGGCCCCCCATTCTAGATCTGCCCGAGTCTTGCAGACTCTGAAGAAGTAAACGTAAGAAAACGTGGAGTGATTGGTTGGAGAAGCTTCGGTTAAAATTCGGGCAGGAGCAACACCCTCAGGAAATTCAAGGTTAGGAGCCCGAAGCTCGGGGAAATACCATAAGCCAAAGCTGAATCATCCAAGTTAGACCATTTAGGTTAGTTTTAAATGGTTCACCCTTGGTAATGTCATATAACAAATGATAGAGATGAGCAAAGAGGAAGGGGCCTGTGGCCACCTTATCGAAGTTGTACAAACCTTTCACTAGGGGGATCCATTCAACTTTTACTTATTTGGACTTATTTGGGAAGACATGTTTATTGAGCCAGTACAAGAGAAAGTACATGTGCTCTTAGTCCTTGTTGGCATTGGAGGAAGAGGGCCCAAACTCCTTCTTGGCAAACGGGATAAAACCCATGAAGGAAGTTCCATAACTCTTGAAGGTCGCAGAGTTATACTCCAATTGAAGAAAGGGAGGGGAGCTGCTCGAACTCTCAGCAGTCGGGCAAGAAGGAGGTGCCTAGTCTTGAGTAGCTTCTATAACCCTGCATGAGGGCCTAAGCCCAAAGACTTGCGCTATATCCAGGATGGTAGGAGACATAGGGCCCATCCTGAAGTCGAAGGTATTGGTGCCCGAGTTCCAAAAAATGAGGGTTGTAGTGAGAAGCTCGGGCTTGACGATCACGGTGGTCTTAGAGAGTATTATCAACTCATAAATATTGTTGTTCATCCATTTTTGCTTAAAGATTGGCTCAAGCTCATTTATCCATTGCATTTATCCTTCATCCTTCATCCTGCTTGCGGGTGATGCAGACCGTTGAGCAAGCGGGGCATGATAGAAATCCCTTCACCAGTTTCGCAGGAAGATTGAGTTCGAGCAACTTTGGGTGCCATTGGATGATTTTAAGGAGAAAATGGGAAGAAAGTTGGAATTAGGAGGCAAGAACTGAAGAACGAGATAAGTTTTTGGAAAATTTGAAGGCTTTGAGAATTCTGGGAAGTTTTGGGAATTTGAAGGCTCAAAATGGCTAAGGTACTTTGCCGAGGAGTTTAAGTGAGAATTATATGGTGAGCAGTTAATTAATGATGGAATTCGGGGGTTAGTGCAAAGGTTTAGTTCACAACGGAAATTTTAAATGGTGAAAGTCCTGAGTGAAGACGTGTGGCGGGTATTTAATCATTATTAGCATCCTGGGTTGTAGACTCAACAATGATTAAATAGGGCACTGTTTGGGTTAATATTTGAACATTGGACTTAGATGAAGGAAAGCCCAAGGGTGCCAACTAAAAGGGGACTTGACCGAAACCCAGCACCAAGCCCAAAGGCAACTTGAAACCTTTTTAGCCAAATACAAGCCACATGCTTACTATTGAAGTGACAAGTGATGGAGACCAACCTACTACCAACCAACGAACACTTTCTAGTGGCATTCCAAGTAAAAAGCTAATGACTCACTACCCTCAAAGTGCTTTCGGGTAAGAACAAAGTTACAGCAGTCAGGCTAATCTGCCTATAAAAGGAGGAAGAGACCCCAGAGACAAAGACACTCAACCACACTCTTGTTCTACATTTGCTATACTGAGATAGCAGTGGCACGCCTAGCACTCAGTTAGTTTTGATTGCGAGCGTCAAGGCCTATACCTAAGGCCCCACAAAGGCACATTTCAGAACTAACTTTGTCCACTTCTTGTAGCACATCAACAAGTAAGAGTCCGACTACACATCCAAAGTGCCAATCCCTTGGGGAGCTGTGCTGAGGTCCGAGAACCCTTCTCTAGAGAAATCTTCCCACGAACAGTAGGTGTATGTAATTATACCCAAAAAGAAAAGAGTGGATAAGCCCCGTTGCAATTGTCACGTCCCCTAACAAGTGTCGGGACAAAGAACTCGAACATCACGTACTTTCTGTAGTATTTTATTAGGTGGATTGATCATGTTATAATTATCAAATTAACTTACCTATAATACTGTCTAACTGTCTCACTTTATACCTATTTACTGTTCGTTTGTAATAAAATCTTTATTGTTTGAAAAAAGAAAATTAGAAAAGTTAAAGCAGTTAACCGGAATTGGTATGTTGGAACTAACCGGAACTGGTAGCTATGAGGCAACTCCTGCTTCTTGTTCTTCTTTCCATCATCTATGTCATCAACGTTGTATAGCAACGTCAAGTCCGTTGGCAGTTCCATGTTCCTCTTCTTCCATGCCGCCACAAACACAGCCGCAGTCTGCGTCAGAGGGCTGCCAACAAGTTTCTTGAAACGGTACTGTCTTGTGCCTGACAAGAACACAATGAGGCCAAGAACAATTGCACATACACAGATTCCATATCCCCATTGCCTCCCCAAGTTGTCTTCGATGTAGACAAGAACCGTCACTGCAGCGAGTGAGCCTATGCTTATGAAGAAGAAGAACCAGTTAAAGAAGTTTGTCATTTGTTTTCTTTCTTGTTTGTCGGAATCGTCGAACTGGTCAGAGCCAAAGCCTGAAACGCCGGATTTTAGGCCTCCGGTGCCGAGGGCGGTAAGATACAGAGCTATGTATAGGACCGTCAGCTGCTTCCCACTTGCAGTGATACATGGCAGGTCAGTGCCGTCGGTGCATTTGGGGGGTCGGAGGCTGGGGACTATGGTTGAGATGGTCAATACTGTCACACCCTATTAACCAAAACAAGCAATTGAAAAAAAGAAAGAAAAAAACTTAGTAAGAGAAGTAGGGTAGAATGTGTGTGGTTAGTAAACAAGTGCAAGTTACCCAAATTAGAACTTGTTTGGATGTGCTTTTAAAATGACTGAAAGTGTTTTTGGTGAAAATGTTTTTGGAACAAATCCTTAGTAAAATTGCAAATAAATCTTGAAAAAGCACTTAAAGTGCTTCCGGGAAGTTCTTGCAGAAAGCACTTTCTAAAAACATTTTTTCTAAAAGCGCTTTTAACCATTTTAAAAGCACATTCAAACGAGTCATTAGTTAATTATGAATTTATTTTGGTGTGGATCTATGTTAGAGTACTTGTCAATACCAATGGTAAATTAGAAGTCTTACGGTTGCTTGAATGGTGGCAAATATTGCTATCGTTAGGTACCTGTCAAGATTTGAAGAGTAATATTAGAGTAATTACACTTTCAAATTATATTATAACGAGACCTCGTATGTGCTAATTAACAACTAAATCTAACCTAAAATGGGATCCCTTAGTATTCACTATTACTCAATGAGAAGTTAATTAAATAATGAGTGATTGTGATTTGTGAGTAAATTCAAAGCGCACATACACCAAGAGTGAGAGGACAACACAAGTGATAAACACAATGTGAAGCCAATTGAAAACTAATTACCTGCCAAGAAAGGTGTCTGCCACAAAACCGCCGAGCAAGCAGAGCATAAAGGAAGTGCCAAGAAAATTGGTGACGGTATTGGCCGAGGTAGCGTTGCCCAAATGCATGGTACCCGTCAAATAATTCACCAAGTTCACAGCAATTCCTAGGGTTGTTAGCCTCTCACATGCCTCTCCACCTGAGAGTTTATAAAAATAAAGCTCAAGGATCAGTACTATATATGCAAGAAGCAAAGAATTAAAGGAGAACACAAACGTACACCCAGAGCAGGAAGCTGGGTATACCTAGAATCATGGCGGCAGCCGTCCAGCCGCCAGTTTTTGACCGCTCAGCTGGGCAGCCTCTGTAGTCCCATGCATCTGGGAGGGTCAAATTTCCCTGAGTTTCTGGGAGGGTAGTACTATCACTCATTGTACTAACTAATGCCACTAATTTTCTTGCTCTGGTTCAGGCCAAAACTATTTGTCAATTAGATATGTAAAGAGGGCGAGAGTGTGGCACAATAGAAGCAAAGGTCTGTTGTCTTATTATAGAGGGAGATCATAGCAAAGAGGTTGCATAGATAGAAGAGGAAAGTGATATTTTCTAGTGCGAAAGGTTTGTCCTAAGTTATTGTTTGAATGATGTGGCAGCATATTAAACTGTATATTATATAAGACAAAAAGTATTTTTCTCTGTAAATAGATATGGATCGTTGATCATGCCTACAGAATCCGGATCATATTTTGTTTGAAATGACAACTGTAGCCTAGCTAGCTTGATTTTGTCGCATATTTTAAGGCCAAAAAATCATTCCATAAATTGGAATTATTAATCCCTTGTGTTATTGAAGGGAAAGGGATCAAGGTTTACATAAAGTGGAAATGTATGAAGAGCATATGCTTGTGTAAACAAATGGGCGAACAGAACTAAGTTACCACTACAGAAATGTTGTCATTTGGCACATTTCCAAAACCACAAAAATAGTCAAGATAATCAATCAAAGATTAGAAAATCAGCAGAGTAATAATGTATCTCTGTATTACAATATATGTTCGGTTGCTAGGTTATTATGACTTCTGTATGGAAGATCATATGCGTTACGTTTAAAATAAACTATAAAATAATGGAAAATGATTTTTCATTCCCGGGCAATACTAGGAAGACTAAATTTCTAAATTAGATTTTGTATATGTGTGTAGTTGTTGATTATCGCATTATTACTTACTTAAGTGTTGATTAACTACTTCTTATTGCTGACACATCATTTAGTTTACAAATTTAATTTAAAAATTTAGTCTCCCTAACATTACTCTTTCATTCCCACATTAGATTGCAGTAGAACTTTTGTAATCTCCAATACAATTAACTAATTTTTATTGATGACACATCATTTAGTTTGCAAATTTAGTTTAAAAATTTAGTCTCCCTAGTATTACCCTTTCATTCCCACATTAGATTGCGGTAGAACTTTTGTAATCTCCTATACAAGAGTGCCACTTAGATTGGGGAGAAAAAAGAGAGAAGATGGGTTATTTTGAATTGCCTATATTTCTCAGCCTTGGAGTGCATTGTAATCGTTGTTCAAAAGTCTTGGCCCTTGTTTGATATTTATGATTGGCTTGGATAACTCTATAAATTTATTAAACCTTGAATAAGAAAATTGATGCAATTTCAAATCTTCCACAACTTGAAGGTTAAAAGATGGATTAGGCAAAACACTAACCTCTTCTAATCCCACTAGTACCAAACGAAGCCTTAATTAAAGTTTTCCTCTTTATCGTACTGCATCCTAAGTTTGTACCTTCCTCTTCCCTTAGCCTAGTTTGGAGTAATAAAAGAAGAAGAAGAAGATAATAGTAAAAAGTAAGATTTTAAAAAACGCTAGGCGCTAGTCGGATGGCAGGCTGGGACTTAGCACCTAGGCGGTCTAGGCGGATTTAAGTTAATTTATTGTATATCTTGTAAATAAGTGTCTATTTGCACTTCAAAAAAATATATATACTTGTATTGAGAACAAAATAATAGTACATTGAAAAATAAAAGTAGAAGAATACATATATTAGAATACATAAACTACAACTATTCAACAAGTTTAGAGTTTAAAAGCACATTAATATAATCATATATTATTTTGGGCAAAAAAAAAAGCATATTATATCGTAAAAGGCTGGAGTCCAAAATGCTCCCTAGCCCCACCAAAACCTATTTACTTTTGCATTCTCCATTTCTCCTCTTACCTTCGGCAGTTGCAGCTCTGCAAAACCCGAAAAACCAGAAATGGTCAGATGCATCAAGAACCCAAAGGAAGCCAGAAGAAGGGCCAATGTTAGCTCCAAATTCCATTACCTTCTCCGTTGATTGTTTAATTATTTTAATAAAGCTAGGGTTTTGTCTTCAATTTTTGTTTAGGGCTCAAAGAAAGGAGGTGGATCTCCTTCCTCTTTGGGACCATTGATGCCGGAGAAGGTATGGCAACCGCCTAGACCGCCTAGTGGCTGCCTAGGCACCCGCCTAAGCCATCACCGATTTTCTCTAACGTTTTGCTCCAAATCGCCTTAGAAGCCTAGCGCCCAAAGCCTAGGCAACTGCCTAGGCCGCGTTTTAGAACACTGGTAAAAGGACGCTTTGGAATGAATTTATGTTGTGATTATTTTTTGTCTGGCAATTCTCATGTTGACTTGTAATCAGTCCCAAATGGGACATATATCTACATGGCTATTATTTCTTTCTTAAAATTCTTTCTTTTAAGGAATATTGGATGAGGGTAGAATCATACTTCAACCTCAATGATCTTAAGTCTTAACCAACTAAAATATAAGTCCTTTTGCATATTATAGGGGGCATGTAGCTGACATAGTTAGAAGCGTTATCCAGCTAAATAAATGGAATATTAAGGGATGATTTGTTTAATATAATTAACATTATTTTGTGGGTAAGCCTCATAATTGGCCAGGCATAATTAAGTATCTAATTCGCCATTCATGATAGTCAAATTTTAAGACCTCTAGTTTACAAGTATGAATGAATACTATTGAATTATATACTATCAACAGACCACGTAAATGGGGATTTAATAATATGAAATTTTAAATCTTGATTGTTACTTTGAATTTTCAGATCTTTGTTTGCAAATACCTTAGTCTTGATATCATGTTTCGCATTATTCTAATATATAAATCTTGTATTTCCTTGTTCCTGAATGACATATGATGTTTCTTTAAAGAGAAATGCTAAGGAGACTCTCTTAAAAGAACTCTTCATAGCCTCTTTGCCATCTCATGTCTTTGCCACCTTATGTTTTATAATGTTGGTACGAGAATTAACGTTAACCTGTGAGGTGTCTAAAAGTTCATGAAGAGTCATGCTCTTGAGAGAGTCTTCTTAGCATTTCTCTCCTTTAAATTTATCTGGCGTCTTTTTCCTTTGTTCGTTTATAACTGTACATCTTTCCGCCCGCATGCCATTACTGTTACATATAAATGCAAAACTTAACTTTCACGGCTTAAAAAAAAAAAGTAAAAAGAAGTGCAATTGGATTGTAGTAACGTGATGTTTTCCATAGGTACACGCACATATAGTTGTTTTTAGTTGCTCGGGAGCCTCATATTTTGTCACACCCACGTTCCAATAATAGTCATGGAACTCGTGAACATATATGATTGTGATTAGTTGGACAGAAATTATATGGTGGTACTTTGTGTATTCTTGTTAAACGACAGCAGTATGCCAGTTAGGAGTTATTGGTACGCTGACTATTAAATTTTGATAAACGGCCTACTTGATGTAGATTTGATTTGTCATCAAAGAGTTGGTTTTGATATGTTTTGGGGTGATAAGTTTGGATTTCGTTTTAGTTTAATTAACCAGTTTGTGTGTGTTTCTTTTGGCTTGTATTTGGCTATTTTGGTTCTTCTGCTTACGCCCGTGTGATTTTTCCTATTTATTTTCTGGTAAGAGTGCTAATCTTTTCTTTCATTTTCTATATCTGCTTGCTCCGGTGTTTTTGGGGGACAACTGAAACAGAGTGCAAGACAATATATATATGTTGTAGGTATAATTTATTAAACAATTATGGAGGCCAAAGAGAGAGAGGGAAGGTGCGGCATAGAGAGAGAAAGAGAGAAATGTGTAATTGTGGGTGTGTTCTATTCCACCCCATTGTGCCTTTATTTATAGTAGTAGGGAGGGTTAACTCCTTACTCTTTTAGGATTACAACTCTAATAGGATATTAACTACTAAAGGGAATATAAAAGATATCCCTAGATATGTTAGGATTTACACAATCACATTCCTATTCTAATAGGACTGAAAGACTCCCCCTTAAGTGTGTAAATACTCAAACAGATGGCGCATCAGGTCTTCAGCGATGAAGTAAGTATAGTTGATGAAGTTGTTGGCACAATGAGCGAATACGAGTCTCAAATCAACGGAAGAATGCATAAAAAGGTAAAACTCACAAAGCCTTGCTATGGTAAAACCTAAGGTGGAAGAAAAACCCATAGACAAAGGAGAAAAGTGAGAAGTTGCATTAAGTCAAAATTATACGTCTTTTGGACGCAAGTAGAATAGCTCACAATGGTATGATCAGCCCAGGATGGGTTCTTCATTACAACCTAGTTAGGTAGCAAAAACCCAGTGGGAAAAATGCTCCTAATTGTAGGGAACAAGAGTACATTAAGATCAAGTGAGTATACTTCTGGATACTCCCCCTAAGTTTGACAGAACTTCCAAATGCGAACTACAAGCATTGCATATGATAGTTAGGCATACCAATTCATCGGACAAGCTTCTGGAAGGTTGACTTCGGCAGTGACGTCATGTAGAGGTCGGCAAGGTTGTCTGGGATCAGCTTGCATGACTTCAATCTCCTGATGCTTTGCTGATGTAGATGTAGATGTAATATGTCTTGGTGTTGACTTCGTTGATGTATCAAGTCTTGGTCGGGTGGATACATGCGGCATAGTCTTTCATGGATCGTCATTGGGACTCAATGATATATGAAAACAACAAGTACTTCGAATATGCTCAACAAGAACTCCTAACCATGTCTCACTTGTGGCGTAGTGAAGTAAGGTGAGTTTTGGAACAATTCGAAGATTTCGCAACTAAGGTTATATCGTGGACCTCTCAGATATTGCGATATCTCTTAACGGTAAAGACATAACCATTTGGGGATTTTCCCTTGTTCGAGTTTGATAAGTAACTTGCGTCAGCATAACAAACAAGGCTAGCAATTTGGAATAAGACTTCATAGTTTAACACACAAGGGCATAATTCATATCCCTGACTGATCAAATAATCACTTAGACGGGTATACCACATCCGTTGGATTGTAAGTGAACGCTTCAAACAAGTTACTAGGGTGTTCCATGGTTGCAAACTATTTGAACCAATCCATGTAATTCTTCGGGAACTTACATGTAACTCTCCATATCTATACCCCTATGGAGAAATACTAACCACATTTCATAATGTTGCTATCAATCACATGACGTTTTGAGAGAAACCTTGCGCCATAAGGCGTGTATGATAACGCACTATTTCATTCATCTTATAACGCTTCATTTCCCACTTGTAACACAACAAGGTTACCTTG